TCTAGCAAAATAATTTATATTAATAAATTAACATAATCAATCCATGATCGATTATATCCGTAATTTTGTTGCTGAATAGCGTTATCGTTTGATTTAATTAACAAAAAATCTCAGAGAAATAACTTTTAATCGTATAAAACAGTCCTGAAATTCTCTACAAACTATAAATAATAATGTTTTTCAATCAAAATAACGAACAATTCACAAAAAACAATAATAAATAATATTAAACTGAAAGAAAAAATTAATAATAAATGTACAAAAAGAAAGAAATATCCGGCGACATATGATGTAATAAAATAATATTTAGAATAATTTTTATTGCATAAAATTGCGAAAATCTACTGTACAATTAAAGCTACTTGCATATATATATATATTTTTTTTATATAAGTTCATGTAATATGCAATGCTATCTTAGGGCGAACGTGTATGATATATAAACCTAATTTTATATTTATCACAATACATCAAAAAATTCTTATCTTTCAGACATTGATATGAAAACGAATAGTACAAATACGATGACACTTTTGTAAATGAATCCAAAGCACTTTTTAGAAAATTCTAGATTTTGTAAGTTATTAGAAATTTGCGATTTCTAATGATTATGTCGAAACTATCCAACTTTATTCAATATTAGGAACGTATAAAAAATTCAACTACAAAAGTATCGCCGTTACTTTTGAAGAAAAACAGTTCAACAATTTACATTGTTTGGTAGTCATTAACAATAGCACTAAGAGAAAATGTGTATGTTTTTTAATGCGATTCTGTAAGTTTTTACTATTTACATCTAGTAATGTTTATATAAATAATTTAAAAAGTGTCGGGCACATTGCAACATGCGGAAGATTTGCTGACAATATATAAAATTGCTAAATCCGTGCCAACGTTAGCCAATTGTGCAAAAGATATTATATCTACGCTCATTTCAACAGCATACTAAAATGATATTTATTGAAACACAAATGTGAAAAGGTTGATAAGAAATACCTTTGCACATTTTATATGCGAGGACATCATGTTAAGCTTTAGAGAATTTTGAAATAAATTAATACAGGGCATACTAATTTAAACTAATCTAAACATATCTACCTCGAAGTAGTGCCTATAATAATTCTATAATAAATGGAATTATAAAGTTTTCTCTTGTTATTATATGCTATAATAAATACACATTCAAAATGGTCAGTGCTTTGAGAAAGTATCAGTGCATTGCAGTAACAAACACTTGGAAGCAACGGTTATAATTGTCCATTTTATGAATTAATAATACATACAATAAGATGGGATAGCGGGTGCCTTATATAATACACTTATTCCTCTCACGTCGTTTATACAAAATATATATCATAAAAACACAAAAATAAATAAAATGTTGATCTTATCTATGTAATTGAGATAACGCATCAAATCTTTTCATAATTTCACACATACTCTTTTTTAATGAACCGATATTTTTGCAATATATATTTATAGATTATTTTCATAATAATGGTTTTTACGCTATAAAGCGTAATCAACACACAAATTTTTGTTCATTTATATGTATATATATATATATATATATATATATATATATATATATCCATTCACCAAAACTACATGCCCATTCACTTCTAAAACATTCACTCCAAATCATAATAATTAGTTAAGTAAATATTCAACATGTTGGTGATTTACCTCACTTGCACTGAATGAATATTCCAGATATTCTACTCTAATATTATTCGAAGTTTTCTGTCCAGGATAAATTGACCATGCCCCATGAATGCGGCTAGTTAGACGACAACGATTAGTTGACCATCAGAGTATGAGATTCCATAGGAGCGGCCGAGTCGTACAAAGTGTCTGTGTCCTGAGTGGGTTCACCTTGCAACTGGCACTGATTGGTTAATGTTCCCGCACCGCAATCACAGAAAAACCTTCGAAATAAATATAAAATTATGTTGCAATTAAATACTAATACTAATGCTGAGTGCCATCGTGCCTTAAAGCAAATGGCTGCTGCTTTCCGTTTTTTTATAACAAACTAGCAAATCCAAGGAACTCCGTTTCGCCACCAGATGGTTTCGTGAGAAAGATGAAGAAATTTTTTGTTTGTTTTATATTTGAAAAGGAAAAATTTGATTTTATTATACAATAGTAATGAATTTATTTCGATTACAAAAATGAAGTGTTTTTTAGTTGAACTTCTCTAAGTAAATGAAAGTGAATCCGCAAATTATCCGTTTCATTGAAGTGCTCATTGGTAAATCACATTTTTTGTTTTTTGGTCTGATGTTAACACAAACAAAGCTCGTGAACAGGCAACGTATAACTGCCCATGTGAAAAACAATGATTTTCTGAATAATCTATTTGAAATTTATCCCGCAAACACTAAGCGATTGGATTGCGACTTGTTATTGCGAACGCAAGGCGAACTGGAAATTGCAATCGTTTGAAGTCAAACGGAAGACCAGTCAGAATCAGAATCATTGGTATGTCACCAAATCGCCAGCAATTTTTGATTGAATGGTGAAATTCAGTGCGTGTACATCATATTTCTTGGCGGCAAGAATTGCTCGTTAACTTAACCAATCATAATTCTGATAATTCCCACTAATGTCATTACTCGAATTTTTAATTACGGTGCGTGAAGTTCCAGCAATTTGCATTAGGGTACGATGCCATGCACCACTAATTTGGGTACGATGCAATGCACCACTAGCTATAAACCATGCGGAGCCCGAGACCTTTCCAACGAATGCAAAATTGTCGAAATTGGTTCGTGCGTTCTGGAGTTATTTCGTCAGGAAGGAAAACCCGACTTATTTTTATATATATAGAAGATAATGACACTGCGCGACACTATTTTTTTCCCTGAAATGTTATGATGTTTTATGCAACTCGAGGACGCTCGATTCTGAAAATAGTAACTGAAAGTTGCATACAGCTCCAGTTTGTGGGATATGCCAATATGCTAGTTCTACATCAAATTACAATAAAAAATACAACTTATTTCATTTTACGCCTTCAAAAGTCTTTTTATACAATTTGAAAGCCTGACTGATTTCATCATAAGCTCCAACAATTATCAGCCATCAGCCATCATGTGGATGTCCCACTTTCCTTGATATCGCTATCTTGGTGTACTCTCGCCCTGCTCTTCGCTAATATCTCCAAAATTTTCCAAAAATCGTTCTGAATAAGAGTGCGGGTGATGAATTTAAATCAATTACATCAAATATATCAATTTGTAATTCTTCCTGTCTTCTCTTTTAAAGTTGGTTTCTTCATGTATTTGTCGAAAACATATTAACCACAGATGTAACAAAAACTATCTGAATTATGCACACAAAGTCTTAGAGTCGATGCCATAACGAAAACTTATTTATTATTATTAAACTGCAATAATAATAACCGAAATGAGTAATTGGTGTAGTCCCCTAAAACTCAAAAACTGGAGCTGTTACCAAAAAACGGAAGGTATATTTGAAGGTATATTAGCGTGCAACTCTAAGTGGGTTTTAAAAAAAAAATTAAGAAAAAAAAAATAAAAGTACCATTTTTGTCGCGCAGTGTAATCAATATAAATGAACTGTTTGAAAACTGAAGTAGCCGAAGAACTGAAATACGCAAAGTCGGAAAACGAAAAGCCAATAGTAAATGCATAAAATCTGTTTTTGAATATTGAATAATTATCACATTCATTAAATTTTAACTCAATGAATATTTTAATTTCTTTCGGGTAGAAAGAAACAATAAGGATTTGCATTAATCAAAATCGTTTGTTCAATAACAATTTTATAAATTCACAATATTTAGTGGTGAATCATTCATTGGAATGACAACAACAACTGACTTACAAAAATTTAGCACAATAATTTAACAAGTATGTTTATAAGTGTGAGTGAATAAAATCAACTAAATAGCTCATATGACGTTTATTCTCATTGGTGTTTAAAATAAAATAATTTAAAAAATCACAGTACATTATAAAATTTGGTCTGTTGGTCTTTAAATTGTATTATTGTTGTTACGAATACGAATGAAATTTCTTGCTTGCTAGTACGGAACATTAAATTAGGTTCGAAAGTTTTAATCATTCATTTGTAATATTTGCCTTTAGTGATTCTTGTAAGTAATTTGAAAATTCTTAGTAATTAGTGCGGAAAGCGCATGCACATCAAATTATCAATTTTTTTTTCAAATTAAATTTTGTATTGTAATAAATGAAAAAATGTTGATTTTTAAAGGCATTATTTCCTTCCAAGTAAACATCTCAAAGCATTCATGTAGAACTGACGAATTTTGTGTGATGAGTTTAAATGTTGTATGCTATCAATTTTGCAAAAAAAATGGCTACGGATGGAGAAGGATATTTTGAATTACCAATTTGAGTTTAGCATATTCAAGAAATATTTCATTAAGTTAATATTTGTTTATAAAACAAATAATGCGAGTAGTTATCAATTTGCTTTGAGAACCAATGCAAACTAGTTAATTGTATATTAGTATGAAACTCTAAATTAGGCAAAAATTCAATGGTTAATAATCTCTAAAAAAATCTAAAGATTCACTCAAACAGTTGAAATAATTGCATTGAATGAATGAAATGAATATTGCAAGTCTGAAAATGAAATCTATGTGTATATATCAGAGACTCTCTTTTGACCGCCAAGTACAAATAACAGATAATATCCGTAAAAAATACAAATATTTATTAAATAAGGAAATGAACTACGACTAGAATGAATTAATTGAACTCCAATTAAACTATATTGAATTATAGAATATGTATGTGAACATGTATATGCATATATTTTAATTAATCGACAATTGAAGAAATTGTTGAACAACAATCTAGTACAGAATAAAATTTGCGTCGTAGTTTCTTAGAGTTAGAGTGTTGTAGAATATCTTTTCGAACCATAGAGGCGCTGCAAATCTTAAACTTTCATCACATGGCAACATTGATTCTTGTCTTATTCCTATCAAGAATTTTCTCTATGGTTTCCTTTGCCGACATACTTTTTGACAGTACGACATGGCAGTATATCATTTTACACGCCTCAATTATTATATTTAATCGACATTACGCATCAAGTTATGTAGGTAAGCCGAATTCTTTACGCTCAAAAGAACATCAAAAACATATACAGGCCGGTGAATCTAGTGTGCGTTACAATTCGTGAATTGTTTTCCATTTGACTTGAGAACAAATTAAAATAGTACAACGCAACTACTACGAGAGATCGGTTTACAATGGCGGTTAATGTGTATTCTACAAACGTTACATCCGAAAACCTATCCAGACATGATATGCTAGCTTGGGTAAATGATTGTTTATCATGTTCTTATTCGAAAATAGAAGAATTATGCACGGGCGCGGCTTATTGTCAATTTATGGATATGTTATTCCCTGGCAGTGTGCCCATGAAGAGAATAAAATTCAAGACCAACTTAGAACATGAATATATCCAAAATTTCAAGTTGCTGCAGGCCTCTTTCAATAAAATGGGTGTGGACAAGATCGTGCCCATTGATAAGTTAGTCAAAGGAAGATTTCAGGATAACTTCGAGTTCATGCAATGGTTCAAGAAGTTTTTTGATGCTAACTTTGATGGTCGTGATTATGATGCATTAGCAATGCGTGAGGGAGCTCCAATGGGAAATGCTAGTGGTAATAGAAACATGATAGCTAAGAAAACCCCAGCACCTAGATTTGACTCCAATAAAACAGCCAGAAGTGCAATCTCCGCTAATAATCCCTCAAGAGTCCAAACAACAGCAAAACCAAAACCAAGTCTCGCAACTAATAATAGAGGTGCTGCTGGGGATACCGGCAAAGTAGATGAATTAACTAATCAAGTGCTTGATTTGAAGTTGAACGTGGAAGGGTTAGAGAAGGAAAGGGATTTCTATTTCAGCAAACTTCGTGAAATTGAAATCTTATGTCAAGAAAGTCAAGATACAAGTGATAATCCGCTAATCACAAAAATAATGGATGTTCTTTATGCTACTGAAGATGGCTTTGCTCCCCCTGATGAAATCGAAGGTGTTGCAAACGAAGAAGAGGAGGAAGAGTATTAAAATTGTAAAGTGATGATGATGGGTTAAGTTTTGTACTTGGAGTAAATTATTTTTAAATTGAAGTAATAAAATTTTAAACTGTATTGCTTTTTCAAATATTTTAAATAGTTGCCTATTGTATCTAATAGTTAAGTATTAAATGAAATGATTGCAATGCAAATGTTTTATATTAATTGATCATTTATTTATATTGAAATTTATAAAGGTATTTTGAGAGATGGGAAGAAAGTATCTATTTTTGAATAGGTGTTATGTATTAAGAGCCAAATTAAGACTGCTGCATTGCAATCCTTGTTTTACTGTTTTAAGGATTTTATGATAATTTGCAATTGAAAATAAAACGTTAAAACTGAATTTTATATCAATTTCAAAAAACTAGAAATATTTTATTATAATGTTATTAATCACTTCAATAATTTTTCAAGAATTGTGGAGGTATTCAAAAAGTATTGTAAAGTTTGAGCTTTGAATATCCTTAATTTTACTTGGTTTATATATAAGAATCGCTAAATTGCATTTAAAATTTACAAAGTTAAAATTGATGACAGTTTAATTATGTTAAAATATTATGATGCATGCCTTAGAATACTCATATCTTTTATAACTATTGGAAATTTAAATTGAGTTTAGTTTTTTTTATTCTTTATAATAAAAAACAAATAGAAAAATATACAAAAAAAGCTATTTTTTCATGAATGAAATATATTGAACATGCTGCTGAAATCTGTATCTTCCTATAAATAAATGGTACTCTATAAGAAAGCATGTTTCTCATTTCCTCCAAAATCAAAATTGTTTGATATAAAAATAATGTATTTAGTGCATTACTTGTGATAATACACAGGGGTAAAAAGTCAAATACAGTAGTGGTGGCAGGATAAAAAATTATCAGAAATTAATAGAAATAAAATATGAAAATAATTTTTAGAAAATTGTATCTATTGTATGTAATAAGGCCATACTACCCGAGAGGCCAACAACATTCTTATTTTCAAAATAGTCAATTTCTTATAAATGAAGCATATAATAAATTAAGTCAGTCATACATTCTTATTTATGAGTAATATTGAATAGAAATTTTTATATAGAAATGTTTAGAGCTTAGATACATGTATTTTCTATAGAGTACCAATATACGTTCATTGAACTATAAACATCTTGCAAAAATATAATAATAAATTCTGCTCACCTGTCATGTCTAATAAACTCCACATCATGACCAGCATGACATGTCTTGATGCAATTGACACAGATTGCATTTCTGTCCGTCGTGTTACAAGTTTGGCATCGGTAGAAATCATGCATAGGAAAGCTAGTATATGAAGAGATTTTGTATAAACATTGACTGTTCGAAACAGCTTTTTCAACAGCATCTTGATTGTTGAAGATTTTATTGCCTCTAATTATTGGTTGCACCCCACTCGCCAAACAAAGGCCTGGAATTAAAAATAAAATACAATATAGTTTTTAATGAAAAGCTTTTCTATTATTTATTGGAATTCTTTCATTACTATAATCATAACCCGCTGATGCATGATTATGATGTAATCATATTAAAATTTATAGACAAATATTTTATAAATTTTCACCCAACTTATAAAACTTGTATACACATTTCAAAATACTGATGCACGTCATTATTATTGCTCAAATTAAATTGAAATTTATAAATTGTGTATATTTTCATATCACCACATAGAGTTAGTGCAATGTATGTTATTGTTAATAATGCGAAATAAGTTTTGCATTTTTGAATCGAGAATATTTAGTAATGAGCGAATATAACATACACATTTCTCTATTAATATTTCTTTCAAGATATATCTTTTGTCTCAACTGTAAAATGTCAAACAATTTAATATTATTCATTATTCTTTGCAACAAATGTTCCAAAACTAAGATCATGATTTTCCAAATAAGGTCAGTATCATGTAAATTTAAGTTTGATGCTTTAATAAATCTATTTCAAAATAATTTTCCATGTACATTTTATTTTATATTATGAGACTATTATATGAGGAAAGACATATAAAGTAACACAAGCCTTTATGCCTTTAGATCAATATTGTATAGTAAAATATATGTTGATTGTAGTTTAAACAATATAATATAGTAGATTTAATTTTAGAGTCAAGTTTCAAAATTTCAATTGCATTAGAAATGATATGATATGAATATGGCAAAGCAGTGACAAATTACTTTGACAATAAATACAAAGATTATATTTTATCTGAATTTCAAAAATTTCTAAAATATGTTAAATGTGAATCACAAAAATAATAAAACAACAAATAAATTGACTGATAAATAATCTTACCTCCAAATCTATTGTTAAATATTTGATTAAATTCTAGTGTCGCAGTAGCATTGTTTGTTATTTCAACACCTGCAGCAAGACCATCAAAAATCCGATTCCGCCTTAGCAGTGGATGACTTTGAGTTGATATTAACACTCCAGCTTGAGCATTTCGAAATATATCATTTTCTTCCAATATACCTGATACAGAAGTAAAACAAACGACATCAATAACATTTTTCTTTTACATAAATATTATAACAATTATGAAAATCACCTTTTCCTCCATTGAATATACAAATGCCACCATCTCTTCCATCAAAAATCTTGTTTCTTTTTAATGTTGGATTTGAATCTGTTTTTATCCAAACTCCTGCCATTGCATTATCAAAAATTTCATTTTGTTCCAACAATCCAAGGCCTGCAACAAATATTTCATCAAATACTTTTCTGAACTTATTTCAAAGGTTATATATGAATAGTTAATAAGCTATCAATCAGAATTTGTTGCAGAACATATGTACTAGCTGCAGTTAAAAAAAATTGATATATATTTGAAGAAGCTCTTTGAACTAATACGGTTATAGTATAAATAATATTACTTCAGATGCACATATGTAAAAGAATAATAACCTCCATTATAAACAAGTACTCCTCCATTCTGTCCACCCCATATTTTATTTCCTTTAATGACTGGGTTACTTCCCGTTCTGATCTGGACACCAGAGTAAAGATGGTTGAAAATATCATTATCCTCAAGTTTACCATGTCCGTTATCATAGAAATAAACTCCAACTTGTTTTCCAGAATGAATTCGGTTTCTCCTTAAAACTGGCATACTGCCTGTTGTAATCCACACACCAGCCAAAGTATTTGCATACACCTGAGGAAGATGAGACAAATAGAAGTTACAATAAAAATCTCAAAAATTGTGTAATATAAACTAAAAGCAGTCCCTTACGTTTGAAAAAAATTATTTACATTTAATCTGCCATTGAAAATTTAGGACTTAGAAGACAATAGAATTTAGTGGCTTCATAAACACCATTATGAAATACTATACATTTTAGAAATTGAAATCTTCTAGAGAATCAATTATATTGAAATAATGAAAAACTGCCAACAAATGTTTTATTTTAATAATTGATTCCTTATTCATTAGAAAAATAATTTTTCATTTTCATGTTGTAATAGAATTATGATAATAATTTCATAACTTTACCTCATTTTCCTCTATTAATCCTTGACCCTTCTCATGCACATATATGCCACCATGTTGTCCATGGTGTATTTTATTATGTCTAACTATTGGATCACTATTAGTACGGATTTGAATGCCAGCTAAAGCATTGCCATAAATATTATTGTGCTCAATCAAGCCACGACCTTCCCCGAATATATACACCCCGCCTTGATGGCCATTGTAAATTTCATTTCTTCGTATTGTAGGATTACTATTTGATGTTATCCATACCCCTTGAAATTAAAAATAATTATGAAACATCATAAATGCAAATTGAATATATTTAACATGAACTAACTATTTTATTTGTAAATATTTATTTTCAAATAGTTACTAATAAAAGATATTTTATTTCTTTAGTATTTGAGAGATTATACAAATTCTAGATTATAAATAAAGTTCATTAACTTTATTTTAAACTTTTAATATTGTTGATAATCTATAAACATTGCAGGTTTTTCAGTTAAATCGTACATTTTCAATTTCACAACTTTTTTGTTAACAAATGTTCATATCATGGTTAAAGTTATCATGCAGAAATATTTTCAAACAGTTTACTGTATGACTTACCTGCGAAATTATTTGAATGAATTTTGTTTTCTATAAATTGACCTAAACCATTTTCATGAACATATATTCCTCCAGTTTGACCATGATGAATTTCACATTGTACAACTGTAGGATTTGCACCAGCTTTGACTTCAAAGCCTGCTATACGATTGTTATGGATATCATTTGATTCAAAATAACCCTAAAAAAATAATTATATATAATAAGAAATACACCAGTAAAATATGAAGACATAAGTATAAAAAATAATCCAATTTTGATATTTTCAATCAATGTATCATGCATAAAGAAACTGCATATTAAAAAAGTATAAAAAATGAGGAAAAACAGGAAAAGTATAAGCATTTTCATATAAAATAAATTGGTTCATAAATGGCTATGCTTAGATTTCAGCATGTGAAAAGGATATTTTCTATAAATTTCTTACCATTCCATTATCAAATGTGAAAATCCCAACATCTCTTCCATGGTGTATATGGTTCCGTCGCATTATAGGATTTGCATAGTTTTTTACCCAAATACCCGCTAGAGCATTTCTACTAATCTCATTGTCCTCATAAGTTCCTTGTGCATAATCTGTTACATACAATCCAACATTCTCACAATCACTTATATCACAGTGTTTGATTGATGGGTTAGCACCCATGCCTGATACACATACTGCTGCTCCTACTGTAAAAATAAATAAATTTATATATATAAACATATTATATATTAGGTGTATACATTCAGATATGTTTGTGTGTTTGTCATTTTTCAATCATATTTGGTAACTAGTTGTAAGTAGCATTTTGCGTTAAGGCAAGTTGCATGAACTTTCCGCTACGTATACATAGGAAACTTAATCAATTAGAATTGATATTCAGCTATTTGAGTAGAATACTACTGTTAATTTAAGAATAAAATTTTCGTTTTTACTAAAAAATAATTAATATGATTTCCAAATGATGTCTTTCAAATATACTTCTAATACA